ATCACCTGAAAGTCGCTTGCTTCAAGCTTGCGCTTCCTCTGCTTGCCCGCAGCATTCTTCGTCAGATACTTCTGGTAGAAGGTCTGCTGGTAGTACGTTCGGGCCACCTGTTTGCCATGCTCGATGCTGTGCATGGAAGGTCGATCCAGCAGCACGTATACTTCCTAAGTTGCAATCTTTTGTATCTTGGGATCTCTCTCTCGCTCTCTACCCACTCGGCTTCTGAGTATGCAGAGGAGGCTCTGCCAGAATGGATCTGGAGGCCATCCAACACGCCGGGTGCGCAGTGGTACTGAAGATGACGATGACTGGGCTTCCAGAGATATTCATTGCATCTCTCAGCAGCTGAGCATAGAAACCTGGGCTGCTAAACTATCAACGCCTTCCAAGGCAAATTGTCAGTCAGACACACACTATCTGAATTCAGCAGGAAAACGGATCGGCCTGGCGAACGGCCAGAGGTCAATCAAATAGTCTCGCTGTGGCAGCTCAGCATCGCCATTGTCATCGGCCTCTGCAGCCTGGCCGGCCTCGCTCTCGTCCACCTCCTGGCACTGAAAGCTTGCCTGCTCCAAATCGTCTGCATTGATCTCAATGTTGCAGTCAGGGGTGTCTGCCACCAATGCCTGGACCTCAAGCTTGTTCCTCAGCCTGCAATTGCGGCTGAGGCACCGCAATCTCGTTTGCTCGGAGGGGGCGGCGCGCGCACGAAGCATCTCCAATGAGCATGGAACATCAAATGCAGCTGCCTGCAGCCAACCCCAGGAAGTGGCAACTTCTATCCTAGAGGAAATTGGAAATCACAATGGCTCACACATGCTTAAACCGGCAATTGGCTCTGGCTTTGTCAACAACACTCACCCTGCAGAGCCTGACCTTGGAGTGGACAGTTACCAAAAATCCTGGTAGTGTTCGTACAGTTTGCTTGGGACCCGCTGTCATCTGGATGAGGGATACCCTGTCGTTCTTGAACAGGGCCACGGCTTTTGCATGAGCTGCAGCCAGCAAGTCGAGCCTCCAGTTGCAATATTATGAGGCATGCTTCGCTGCTTGAAATTTTGCATGAAATGGGCTCACTCCAAGTAATTCAACTCTGAAGACAAGATGCCGGGGTCCGACAACAACGGCCACGCTGTACCGAATCAGCTTCATATCCTGGATCATCCTATGCACGTCATCGAGATAAGTGCAGGTCACTTTGATTCTCGATGTCTGCGCATCCACCACAAAGCCGACGGTGTGGTCACGCACAACCTGGCAGCCGCCAGAAGAAATGATTCCCGAGAAACTACTATAGCACTGCATCAAGCCTTATGCAAGGCCAGAACTGTCCTGCTTGCTAAATGATTCTACCAAAATTTAATGACTCAAGAAAAGGAATCCGGCCTTCTGGGCAGCATCTGACTTGAGATCCTTGAGGTCCCTAAAGATATGAATCTTGTCCATTTCCTTGTGGGCCTCTTCCGTGGCCTGAACCTTCGAAGGATCCTCCTCCTCCTCTTCCTCATCATCTTCTCCATTCAACATAAGAACATCTCCCTGGCCATCGCCCAACGTCTGCTCCTCCACCGGTGCTGCCGGCACAGCTTCAGCAGCTTGACCCTCGGCCGCAGCGCCCGCTTGCACTGGCGGGCTCCCAGCTTTGGCTTTGTCAAGCTGACGTACCAAATCCCAGCAGGCCTAGCAAGAGCTGTAGCCAATGGGCCACTACACACAATGAAAACACGGCTAAATGGCAGCTATGGCATCATCAAATTCAAACACGTCGCCTCAATACCCTTGTCATTGGCAGACTTGCCATGCAAGGGTGTTCCACTTGCCATGCAGTGGCGGACTCTGGCCAAGCCGCCCCGAGTACTCAAGAAATTGACCATCCGTTCAAAGGCTGCAGTGTTGGCAGTCTGGCCATATTTCTTCACCAGGAATGCTTTCCAGTTGCCCACAGTCAACAACGGCGCACAGACATCACGCTTGAAGGTATCCTCGCTCCTTCAAGCATGGATCATTGGTTTGGACACTAGTGCATGGATCACTGCTTGCAATGCACAACCATCTTCAATCAAGTTTGTCTGCCTTATGCCTGTCAAGGCACATTGATTGTCGATCATCCAATTCCTCAGGCGATCAGGTCAAGCAACATCCCCATTTCCTTGCCCTTTTGCATCCCATTATAAATATCTGCACGCAAACCTGTTTTCTGGCAGCAAGCATGTGCCCCACACGTATGCGCACTGCACACAAGCCTGGCTGGGCGTGGAGGCCTGCTTAAACAACATATGTTATGTGGTCCAAGATATCACTTGGGAAACATGTTCACCAGCACTAGACTAGATGCTTGGCCTTTGTTCGCTGCCCAACCATGCCACTTCACTGAGCATGACTTGGCCCGGTCTCCGATTCTTGAAGCCCGGAAGGATAAAAGTTATAGCCCAGGGGCCTTGCTGAGAAACGAGCCAAGTAATCAGTGACCCCTCCCATGGTTTCTACTTCACCGCCTTGGGCTTGCGTGCATTAACATGCCAGAGTCAAACTTTGCACACAGAATTATATGTTTTTTACTGTATATATAGATATACACATGCGCAACGCACTTGGCGAAGTCAGCCACAAGCCTAAGTGGTGAGTAACTGCACAGCCAGCTTAGCAAAGCCTTCTGGGTAACTCTGCGCTAGCTTCGTCATGAATCCACAACCTTTTTTGTTTACCCCTGTGAGCTGTACATGTGGCTTGCCCGAGTGGTAACAAACCAACTTGCCATCTCTCTTTACACATTTGCAGACCACACATTGTCCCGAGGGGACTCCACTGCATTTCAGCATCCAGATGCGTGTCGGTTTCTGCCATTCCGTGCCAAAGGCACAAAAATCGACCACAAGCTCAGACGAGTCCTGGGCAGCCAGATGGCATTCTAGAAGGCCAATCAGAATCTGAATTTAGTCCCAAGGAGTCCTTGTGGTTGAAGAGGCTCTGAAGCTCTGGCACCGACCACATCATACTGCTCTTAGGATTCTCCAGCGCAATTGGCAATTGCCAATGCAAGCATTGTTTCAGGACCTGAAAACAAACACGGAGGCAGGCATTGCCATTCTTCAGTAAAGCCAGGTCAGAAGCCTCAGCTGTGTAGAATGGTATGGAACTATTCTTTCAAGATCCACGTCACCGAACATGCATTGTCACAAGCTAACACTCAAGCTATTCATTAATTTAATGCTGAGTCTCGAGGAGATTAATTTCTGGAAGACCCCACAGTGCTTGCTTTGAACGGACAGCACCGGGGAAGCCTTTGCGCCGTGTAGGGCATCTTTTGCCTCGCCTTGCTAGAGACCAACTTTCGCATGGTGGAGATAGCCATACCTCAGAAAATCCCTGCTGAAATCATCCCACTCCTTTTGCTGCGGATGCTTGTTCATTCAGGCAACTGAACATCATCAAGGCACTGCAAAGATAAGGTGATCACGGAACCATGTATGGATCATGTCTAGCATGCCAGGCGATACAAGATCAACCCCCATTTCAATATCCAAGCCAAAGGCACCAAAACCTCAGCTTACCAGGCAGCAGCCTGAGACACAAGACAAGACCCTTGTTTTCATACCTTTGCTGCCCCCCAACCTACTGCACACTGGTGGGTCTATGGTGAAGTCAAAGCTCCAGCAGCCAAAGCTGCAGCCGTCACCATGGCAGCTCCACAAAAGAGCTCCAGGACCACTCTGCCTGAAAACGATACTCAGTCTGAAAGAGCGGATGCAATCTGGACATTTCATGTGGTGTCAAGCATGACAATACTTGCAGCAGGCTGATTTCCATGCAAGCCTCTCAACTGCACTTCTTGTCGCAGCTCTGCATCCACGGCAGCTGGTGATTTGGGAGGACACCTGGGAGGCCTGGCAATCTTCAGGCTGGACTTCGGTCTCTTTGCCGCATCCTGGAATCTTTGGCTGTTCTGCTGGCGGCCACTACCTTGCCGTGGCTTGGCAGCAGCTGGGCTGAAGTTGTCAGTGGGCTGGGCCAAGTTGCCAACGTCACCACCCATCTCTACGTCACTTACTACACCATCATCTGACACTTCGTCAGCTGCAGGCGCAAGATTGATGTCACAGTCCAACTCAATTACCATGGCTGGCAGCTACGAGCGCATATATACAAAGTTAATGCGAAAAAACCCTCAATTTGAACCTCATCACAAGATTCGGTAGATCAAGAGCAGCATTCCAAACTTCAATCAATTCACGGAAAATCATTGCTGCTGAGAATCCTTCTTCACGAGCTCTAGCGCCTGGATCGCCAAGTCTGGAGCCAAGCGTAGGCGTCCGTTAACACCAGAGCCCATCAAATAATGGTTGTCCCACACGTACCCCTGTGGGACAGAATCGAACCTGCATTAGCCAAAGGCAAATTGGAACAGACACCGGCCTGCACTGCGAAAGGCCCTGCCTGATCAGCTCCGACTGCAATTCCTTTGGAAGATGTCGGTATGCTCGGGCCCACTTCTGCACCCGGGACTTTGCCCCCGTACCCAGGAGCTCAATCAAAGAAGTGATTGCCTTATCAACATCCCCATTTGAACGGGTAACCGCCGTGGACACCACCCGCAGCTTCTGCGACAAGGAAGTTGCCTTGAAACCTAGGATGCAGATGGACTTATGCAAATTGGCTGACCACAGGATTTTAGCGAATTATATTGCATTGCATAGCCGCTTATGAACTTCCAAATCAAGACTAGGCCACGATTACACTCCTCGTCGTGCACTGATGAGAACCAGGCAGTTCTTGTTGCCGGATCGTCATCGATGAAACTGACGGTGTCACAGGAGAGGCCGGTCTGGAAGATCTGAACCAGTCTCTCGTCAAACATAGTGACATCATCGGGTTGTTCTGATGACGAAGCTGAAGTGGTAGGTGAGCCTGCTGCCTTCCACTCCGCCTCCAACGTCTTCAAGGCACAGATGAAGCTCATCCCATCAGCAATGAGAATGAGGCCCTAAGTTGGTCTCAGCAGTCCTACCTATGTTAGGCACATGCATGACATTGATATTTCTGACAGGGAAATGGGCATCATAATCAACCCGAGCTTCCGCAATGTCCAACAAGTATTTGCCAGTGACACAGCTGACTGCAAGCTGTGGTTCTCTCATTATGTGATGCCCCAAATTCCCGGAGCGCAAGGCTTCCAAAATGCCCTGCTGTCGTGAGGGATCTTGCGGCCGCCACCCGGAAGTCTCAGACACTGAGATCTCATGCAAATGGATGAGGACCCCGCGTGCCTTGATCTGAGGGGGCTTTCCATACTTAGCCACTGCAGCCCCCTTAGGAGCCATGCTGCAAGAATAGCCGTCAGGAAAACCCCTGGGCACACGATCCAAAAACTGCAGTTATTCATGAAGACAATCCTTGAAGCAACAAGAATGCACTTCAAA